TGGTATGGGATATCCCTTTGGTCAGCTGGGGTCAGCTGCCTCAGTGGCTTGTGCACCCCTAGCCTACTCACTGGTGGGGTGGGGTGAGAAGCAGAAAAGGCCTTGACTCTGTGTAAGCACTGCTTAGCAGCAACAAAAACATCCCTGTGTTGTCAACACTGTTTCCAGCACAAATCCAAAACATAGCCCCATGCTAGCTACTGTGAAGAAAATTAACTCTATCCCAGCCAAAAGAAGCACACTAGTACACCTTACTTATTTTTAATGTGTACTTTGGTTTTCTGCTGCCAGACCAAATGACAAAAATGACTAGCCAGATGACATTTTCATATTGTAGCTAGGCAGAGAAATAAAGGGAAGATTTATGGGTTATTACGTGCAAACACTTTCAGTTTTGTTTAAACAGACGTGTATGCATGTTCACTTTATAAAAGAAGAAATAGTCATTACTATATGTGAAGAGGTCAGAGATCCAGTCATGACAGTTTAAAACAGTTAGTTTAGGTAAGCAGTGTTTTAACTTTTAGTTTTCCTTCCATAAAGGCACCACTGGCCTTTTTGCAGTTCATGTTATAGTAAAGGTTAATACTGATACAGCCATTCTCTATCTTCCTGATGCCATGTGTTAGCTCTAATATAACTTTTAATTGCATTAAAAATTACTTAATTTGTGTCTGTGCAGCACTGTTTTACTGAAAGCATAGTTTGTGTTGAATATGTACAGGGCAACTCAGTCCTACCTATTACAGGATATAGAGCATTCAGCAAAGTTTAGTATATTTTGTGTCTTTAGATTAGATTTTCAGTGTTTTACTAGACTTGTCTTTGACACTTAGTGAAATCAACTGGAAATAGTAAATAAAAACTCTTGTAACTTAATTAAAACTCTAAGATCCAGGATAGACCTTGCGATCTCTTCTCACAGTCTTATGTGAATTTGCCACTTGGCATCTTTCTGTTGACTGTGCAGTTGAGGTATCTTTAGTTTTTCTCATTGAGACCCTTTGTTAGTGAACGATTCTTTCTGTAAAAGATGGGGGAGGGGGGAAAAATTTTGTGTCTTTCCCAGGGAGTACTAGAAGGATGAAGTACATTCATTTTTATCCTTTCCTTATGAACACCACAAGGCTGTAGTCTAATAAGTGAAATAGGATGACAGACAAAAAATATGAACCTAGGGAGCAGGAATTTGGTCCAGATTTCCGTCTTTGTTATAGGTAGCCTTGCATTTAAATAAATTAGAATTTTATACTTTTGTTGGTGTACTTTGATTTAGATAGGTCAAAATAAATGCCCTCAGAAAAATGCTTCAATAGAAAAACATATGTGGTTGGGGTTTTTTTGCTATAATATATCTATAGGTTTAGTGTACATGTGTGTATGTATTTTTAGTGTAGTTTGATAGGGGAGCCAGATACCACAAGTAACAAAGCTTTTTGTAAGTTCTCAGCCACTGAAAAAAATCTTAAGTAAACTTTTGTGTTCATGTATATAACAAGTGTGTTTGGAGTGGAAACAGAAAAAAAGACAAAGACATAGAATAGCAGGTAAACTGTTTATATTTTACGTATTTTTACATATTACATATTTATGTGTTACATATTTGTAATTTTAGGGGTTTTAACATTGAATTGATTCTTTCTTCCAGTTATTGCAGCCAGGTACTTAGCAAAGAAGTTGACAGTTGTGTGACAGATCTCTTAAAAGAACTGGTTCGTTTCCAAGATCGCTTGTATCAGAAAGACCCAGTAAAGGCCAAGATAAAACGCAGGCTTGTTATGGGTCTTAGAGAAGTTTTGAAACATCTGAAGCTGAAAAAACTGAAGTGTGTCATCATCTCTCCTAACTGTGAAAAGATTCAGTCAAAGGGTAAATAACTTTAAAAGAAAAGGTTTGTTTAATAAAAGAAATGTAAAAAAGCAGACTCTATACTGGCAGCAGTATTATTGGAGGAACTTACTGGAGTAGCCTTTGAAATCCAGTCATATAAAGATGCCTTCCTTCTTTAGATCGTTTACTGCTGTGCAGCTGAAGTGTGAGCCGAGTCAAGACTATCTGGGGTGGGGGAAGTTATCTGAAACTAGGATCTGTTTAGTTATTGATTTGCAGTGCAGCTGCACAGAAGGTTGCACTGGCGCAGCTGAGAAGAGACAAAGGTTACTGATGCCGGCTGTGCCACCACAAGAAGTCCTGCTCTACCAGTCTCTCTTAAGCCACAGACTGACAATAAGTTGCCAGTGATTGTTTAAAATGTTGTAGTAATTATTGTCATTACCTTCTGTTAACTTTTAAATAATTTCTTAGCAGCTGGGTCTTTTTAATACTAAATTAGACTGTACTACACATATAACAAAATATGTAAGTAGGAGCAGTCTAGTGATACTGCTAGTTAAGAATTAGGAAAAAAAAGTAAAATTCTCCTTTAAAAATGGAGATCTAACACTGTTATTGAGAGCCATGTGTTTTTTCCTATAAACTTTTGTAGTTTCAAAATGCCCCCACAATCCTGGGGTGTTTTTTGCTATGTTTTAACAGTACTGTCCTTTAGTTATAATCAGCTTGAATAGTGTCATTCTTTGCAAATTCTGTTGTCTGCTTCAGGTGGGTTGGATGAGACTCTACATAACATTATCGACTGTGCCTGTGAACAGAATATCCCATTTGTTTTTGCCCTTAATCGCAAGGCCCTAGGCCGCTGTGTGAACAAAGCAGTGCCTGTGAGTGTGGTGGGAATTTTTAGCTATGATGGGGCTCAGGTAAGTTGAAATAGGTAGGTTCATGTTTTTGTTTACCTTTACTTCTTACCTGTAAGGGTTAAAAAAAATATGCTGACTTCAAGGTTTTGTTTGTTTGTTTTGCCTTTGCACACATATACTCTTTATCCCAGGTCAGTGGCTTATATGAAAAATTAACTTTAGAAGTACAGCCACTCAGAACTGTTCAAAAAAGTAGTTTGGCCATCTCTTCTTGACACGCTCTCCATCTAGATCTCTTTCCAATTTTTTTTCCAACAGAATTGGTGTTTTCATAAATGCTTATAAATGGTTTGTCTTTCATGTCTTTATAGATACTTAGCTGCTTAACTTTTATGTGTGAACATATAGGTTCTGAATAAGGAATATTCATTACAGATTTTCACAGATATGTTAAAACTTACTGTATGATTTAAGATCTACTAATGTTTTATATTTCCATAGGACTATTTTCATAGAATGGTACAACTGACAACAGAGGCCAGGAAGGCCTACAAAGACATGATAGCAGCTTTAGAGGAACAAGCTGAAGGAGGACTAAGAGAAACCCAACCCCGCATCTTAACCACTGAATATGAAAAAAATGGCTTATCAGAAACTGGTAAAACATCTTCCAAGGACTCTGATGAGGATGTACCAAATTATAGTGAGTATTTGACTTGGTTTTGGTTCAGTTTTCACTCAAAGTGCTCTTCAATTCTACTATTTTCACTGAAACAAATGACACCTGACACTTTAGTGGTTAGTAAGGGGGGGATATTCTGTTTTCTTTTATTTACCCCTGCCCTCCCCTAATTTTATAAACCTAAGGTCAGGCCTTGCTGAGAAAGTCTTAGAGAGAATTCCTCTCTGAAATCCACTGATGGCAGGTGGTACTTGTTGCGTTGTCCAAGGAGGTTTAACAGAGTGCCCTATAAGTTTTTTTTTCTAGAAGGGCATACTTTATAACTAATAGTGGACTTAAGTTTTGTACTGAACCTGTTTGAGATGCATCTTCCAGTCCAAAGGTGTATGTTTCGTAAAGGCCTTCTACTTCTAGAAACACATTCCTCCGGCTCATACAGTCAGCAGACAACGACAGTATCACAGATACTAGACAAAGTAAAACTTCTTTGAAAGTTCTGAAAACTTCTGAGGTTTTTTTTAAAGTTGGATCCACCTTCAGAGTTAGCCTTGCTTGAGTAGGGGGCTGGGCACAAGGACCTCAATTGATCCCATCACTCCTGAAGTATTCTTTCATGCGTCATCTGGTGTTGAGTGGTGTACACACCAACATGCCCCTGTGCCAATTTATCTCAGCACTTACGGCAAGGAGGAAGTAGAGAATTAGTGTGACTTTTCATTTTAAGTTTTTTCTCAAGTATTATACACTAACCTGTTTGGTTTTTTTTTAATTTTAATATTCCCTAGTTAAAATCTGGAAGAAAAAACTTGAAGAAGAGTATAACCCATATGCACTGGAACTGGACAAGAGTGCAACTGCTGACATGGTGATAGTGAATTCAGAAGAGCATCAGTAAATCCAGATCCAATTCTGTTGGGCTTTCACTTTTTTTTTTTTTTTAAGACCCCTAGGAAGAGGGTAGCAAAACAAAATAATTAAATAAATAACTGAAGTCAGCTAAGTAAACTATTCTGAATCCCTTTAAGCAAAATACACACTGGAGCACATAAGGCACTGGCTAATGCTTTTATGTTCTATGTATTTGGCTGATTACTGTAGCAGGTGAGAACAGCAAATTGTCTTAGTCCTGAACCACTTGAACTGGCTTGGCATACTTTAATGGTTTTATGGACTGGCATTGACTTGTTAGTGATGCAATATACCAAAAGAACTTGCTAGCAAGATAATGTTATTTGGGAAGAGATTCTGTCAGCCAAAAGGTTGGGGCCTGTGCTTTTTATTTTTAACTCTTGTTTTTTGATTGTGGGTTTGCTTTTGTTTTTTTCTTCTAAATAAACCTGCTCAGGTGGGCAGGCTGGCATCAATGTCACTTTCTTCCAGTCAGCAAGAAATTAATTCTGGGCAGGCAGCTTGATTGAAACTAATTATGGAAGGCCTTAATTAACTCTATCCCAGCTGAAACCAGGACAGTCATCAAGGCCTTCCTTAGCTAAGTGGTGCTTAGTTGCTGGCTGGGGCTAAACCATGACAATGATAAAGTTCCCAGTTAGCTCTTCTTTGAGATATTTTGTTCTTCTGGGATCATACAGCAGGTGTAAAGGAGAGAGCAGGGACTGCAAAGGTCTGAAATTCCTGAAGTGAAAGTGCTCTATTTAGAAATTTTAGAAAGTTGATTAAGTGTACAATGATGATGTTTCTGATGCTACTGAGACTAGTTTATCATAGGTCCTGCTTTGAAGTTAGAGGATCTTGAAGGACAGCAGATGTTTGAGCCTGCTATCCTATCTGTACCTTCTCCATGCTGACAGACTCCTCATTCCTGCAGTTTTGGGTTGCGTTTGTGTATATAAGAGTTTTTGATCAATCTTGGTTTTTATCTAAGGTAGGGAGAATTTATATCTTATACAAAATAAAATTTATATCTTGTAGGAAATAAAATTTTAAAAACAAAATGTGCTCATAATGGTGGTGGAGCACCTTAGTGGGAATGTCCTACATAAATACTGTTGTTTACAAGTTGCAGACATAAGAGGACAAGCCTAAAGAAAGTAATTGGAGGATGCACATGTAACTTCTGTCAGCTGTTCTGAATGATGATATAGATGCCATGTGCTGCTGCCAGAATCTCTGAAGTGTGCCTGTAAGTGCTTCACCACACTGAATGTTTCTAGTGCAATACTGTTGAAAGTAGCTGCCTTGTGAAGTTAGAAGTGATATAAACACTTTAAATAATTTTGAAATTCAAACAATTTTGTAGAATGTAAATTGTATAAAATCTGTTACAATATATTGATACTATAAAGTATGGTTGTGACTTAAATAAAACCTTCTGGTGGGCACTTAATGACACTTGAAATGTCACTTTTGAGGAAGAACATTGGTAAGGGAACTAGTTGGTCACTAGTTAAGATGATGATCTTTTTGTATTAGTTTTTTCTAATCTTAAATGGAAATTGAGGGTGAATGATCCCAGTGATGAAAGATGTTTTTGGCCAGCAAATATCCTTGAGCCAGAGGTAAGTTGTGATTTATTTGTACTTGTGCCACTTTGATACATATCTAAAACTCTGAAACTGCTAAACCTAGTCACTGCATGGAATGGGCACCAGTTGGTGAAGATCACATTAACAGCTTTTTTTTTTTTTTGGCCATATTTTCTATTTTGTCTTACTGTAGGAGAGCATAAAAAGTTATTTTGGAAACATTGTAGGCTGGTTAAAATCTTAGGGAGTTTTCCTGTTCTTAGAATATAGCAAAAAAAAATCACTATTAGGGGTCACAGCTGTGTTCACTAATCCTGTTACACAGATGTTTTTTCACAAAGTTGAGCTAAACCAAAAAATCTAGCAAAACTCAGCTATGCTCATGTAAAACTCTGACCTCAATCTTACAAAGCCTTACCTTTCCACTTAGCACCACAGAACTAAACTTAAATGTGCTCCAAATCTATTGAACTAATAAGAGGAGGGGCAATTCAAGAAAAGTGTTTTTATAGTTGTCCCTTGGCCATGAAAGATGTCATAAGAGAAACACAATGGGGAGAAAGTTCCATCTGAACAGTGGTGTCAGAAGTCTGCCTCAGCATTAATTTATGATTGCCAATGTGAAAAATGGGGAAAATGGTTTGTATGTAAGAATTTTCAGCCTGCGTGTGTGACCACAAGGCAGTCTTATATTAAAAAAAAAAGGTCATTCAGGAAAGTCTTAGGAGTGAGGAGAATGCTTTCTTTGATGTGGGAAACAATCTAATTTAAATCTTACTAGTTAGGGGATAACTTAGGGATAAATACGAGGCTTCCTGCTATGGCTAGGAACAGCTGTCCCCATGAACTCAAGCCATAGTGATTCTTAGATGGCATCTTACTTGCTTCCAGATTGTTGAAAACCATTGAGAAGATAAGACAGAATACCTGAATTATGCCTCCGACTTTTGTTTATTAGATGCAAAAGGACAAAACTCTGAACAGCAATGCAGTAAAACAATTTCACTGTGGATTAAGTAGGTCTTCACATTTTCAGTCTGCAGTTATTCACTAGGAATATGTGAACTCAATGCAATTCTAGTCTCAGAATTCCCAGAATTCTCAGAATTTTTTAAAGCTACCACAGTTAAATATAGAAGAATAAATAATTTGCAAAAACTAAAGAGTCTGCTTTAACTTGGGTGTTTTGTAATCTATCTGTATTTTGAGCATTAGTCAGTTCTTTATTTGGTACAGAAACTTTATTACCAAAGGAAATGTGTTTGAACAAATGAACTTGCTGACACCAGAAAGGAATGCTCTTCAAAACACTGGGAACAGAGTAAAAGGGTGAACACATTAAAAGAAAATAAATGGGCCAATTTAAGTGCCTTTAAATAAATGTGATCCACATCTTATTATTAATCTCTAAATCATATGCCAAGATCCTCAAGCCCAAAATTAACTGGTTTGCTTAATGAAGTCAAAACTGAAGCCATATCTCATATTACATTGTTTGAGCAGCACAAGTCTTACTGAGACCACTTTCATTCATTAAGCTGAAATAACTGACATCAGAAAACCAGAGCTAGTTCCAGCATGGGATGGGTGGCCTCTCTTGTAGCATGTAACTTAGTTATTCTTTGGTGCAGTAAGGATATCCTCTTCCACCTCAAGCTTCAGGTGATTCTCCTGAATATCAGTTTTAATGCCAGCGCTAGCACTCACAACTGCCTCTTTGAATGCTGTGATATTAAGAGAACTGGGTACTCTAACTTGCATACATTTCGCTTCTAGCCTGTTCGTTCCTTTGTCCGTTAGAGGCTGGTTTTCTTGTTGCAGCTCTCCTGAAAAAAAAAAAGTTCAGAATGATGTGTTAATACCGCTTTAAAAATTAAAATGGGGTTTTAAAGTTGCCTATACTAACTGTTCCACATGCAACAAGCATGTGTTATATCCAAAAGTTATCAAAAGTAATCTTTGTTCTAACTGTTTGAGTAAAACATTAAAAGCCAAGTATGGTCTGTTTTTTTTAAAGGCAGGCCAGCTTTAATGGACAATACCATTTATGCAGTCCAGTAGTCTCTGCAATTCAAATAACTATAGATGTGATTAAATTATTCTACTATATTCAGTATACACAGGTTTACTGTTTTGGGCAGGATGACAACTACTGACCGATTAGCACTTAGTTAGTGGACTGAAGGAGCAAGCTGACATAACCAGAATATATGTCATAGATCAAGCAGATTTTACTGCTGAGAGGGTCAAGAATGATGATGTGTACACTTTTTGTTGTATAAATACATTCAGTTGCAGAAGCATCACAGGCCATTTATAAAACCGGGACTGTAGTGTGTCATGTAGAAAGCACTGTAGGGGATATCTTTTCCAAAACTTCTTACCCATGTTTTCCTCCAGTTTTGCATCATCTTGTCATGTTCACTGATGGCACTTCTCCAGGTATCAAATTCTTTGGTCCATCCATCCTGACCAGCACTATCTGGAGAATTGTACAGGGGACAATTACATAACTACATAATGATGAAGTAAATTAAATTGATCTCTGTTCAGTTGCAGTACTGCCTGTGGAGGGTTGGGCTAGAAGGAACAAAAGCCACCGTCTTGTCCTTCATTTTGCTCCCCCCTCCTCTCACGTTATTTGGAAATAAGTTCTATTCAAATGGTCATGTCTCTTCCCCTCTGCAGCAAACTTTATAGCCTCCAGAGTAAACAGATTCAGTGCCTTTTATCTGTGATTTGCGGTCTAGAAAACATGACCTACAAGTTAGAAGTTCAAACCCATCTAAGAAGCACAGGAATACTCTGGTTAGATCATGCCAAACCTGGGGGAGAAGAATGGTATGATACAGCTATGTCCAGTTTGTAATTCCCCATTTTTCAGTAATGCTATGTAGTTACTCTTCATTCCATTGAGAACTTAAGAAGGGCTATTTTACTGTATCTTGATAAAATTCTAGTTGTAATTCTGTCTGCCAGTTTTTCTTGCAGAATGTAACACTGGTGGTGACATACACAGCTGTAGTATTTTCTGTTTATCCTTTGGGACACTAGCAACAGCATATAATGCTTTTGGAGCACAGTGAAAGCCTCCCTCTGTCTTACATTCACAGTAGTTTCACTGAAATGCTCTTCATTCTGCTTCTGAGACAGACTTCAAAGTAACTGGAGTGATGGCAAGACAACTTGTGTAACTCCTACTGCTTTTCTCTGTCACTGAAAAAAGAAGGGTTGAGCTGTTCTTGACAAATTCATGTTTGTTATTTACCAGCTAATTAAAAATAATTCACTTTTTCCTTCATCCTGCCAAGAAAATCCATACTATATCATTTTCATTGTTCCTGCTGTCTTTTTAAAGACTATTCAGACCTTCTCCAGGCCTGGGTAAGTTTGTTTTTTTTTTTTTTCTACA